CGCGTGGGTTTGCAGGTGCAGATGCTCAGGCCCCCGCCGGGCCGAGTCTGGTTCTCTCTCGGAGGTAGCAGAGGCAGCCCGGTGGTGCTCGGAGGTGGGCACCATGTGCCGGGAGCTGAGGACCCTCTGGGGCCGCAGGACACAGGAGCGCTCAGTACCCTCACTGCTCACCCAGGACTCACCCTTTAGTCCCTTCCGTAAACCTCCAGTCTGTTGAGACCCAGGGCCAAGTTTACCCCCCAACCCCTGTCCCCATCCAAGACTTCCTGCGACTTAATTCGTCTCTGGCTTAGGGTGTTCTTCCCTAAACGTGTGCCCCCCTCTGCGTGCACACGTCCTGGGCGCTGCTGGGGGCAGAGCACATGCTGCCCCAGCCTCCGAGAAGCTCACTTAGTCCAGGTGACAGTGGTTATAGTGAACCTAATAATACTGCGTGTGAGTGGGACCCGGAGGCCCTGGTCCTGGGTTAGACTTTGATCCATCACAGAAAAAATTCTGTAGCATAAAGACCGGGCTCCAAAAGGTCTTAGGGATTTGGATTTTACCATTTTTAAGGGCCTCCCAGGTGCTGTCACTCTCTCCTCCCATTCGGGGTCTCAAAGCCCCTTGGTAACTGGCCTTTACAGGGCCACTGGCTCTTACCACCAGCTACTCTGCACCTTCCCCCTGCCTGCCAGTGACTTTGCTTCTTTGTGGGATCGATGTAGCAACTGTGGAAAAGTGATCCGGGGTGGAGGAGAAGGGCCAGGTCAACTAGGGTGCTGATGCCACAGGTCAGGCCAGAGATCAGCTGGGATTGATCTAGACGGTGGCAGTGCTCCAGACAGGAGGGATGGACGTGAGAGACATTTGAGGTGAGCCAGGAGGCCTCACAACTGAGCGTGTGGATCAAGGGGGAGAGGAGCAGACCAATCATTTCCTAAACCGCTCTCCTCAGGTGCATTTGTGCCAACGTCTTGACCAAGCTCCAATGTGCATCGCTTCCTACTGGCCCAGATAAGTTGGCCCAAATGACCTCTGTTAATGGTCAGCCACTAGGTGTGACTGGTGGCTGTGGGGTCCCGCCACGGAGGGAGGAAAGTTGAACAAAATAGCTCAAGGCTTTAAGGTGCCTTTGCTTTGGGACAAATTAGGGAGAGTCTGGAAATGGGGCACTTGGGTACATGGTATAAAAATGCGGTACCTGGTGAAAACGAGAGGTTGAGCTTCAGAATCACCGAACACTGAATATTTTAACCCATTCCTGTCTCAGCCCTTCAGATGACCTCCGATGTCTGTATCATCCCCAACTCACAGATGAGAGGTTATGAGGAGCACACTGTACCATCCATGGCCCGCCCGTTGGGCTTGGGCGTCAGACAGAAACGAGCATGTGGGGGGAGCCACAGAGAGGACGCTGGCGGGACAGCAGCCCACCTGCTCTCAAATCCCTCAGCCCCGCAGACCATGCTGTTGCGGGGCCAGGTGCCAGTAGCTTTTACAAGGGCTCCTTCATGGCATCTCGTCAATGTAGGATTAATCAGGTCCAGACCTACTGGTGATGCGTGAGAAGTGTCATGGGGGTCCCAGAAGTCGGAAGAGGGCTCACCTTGCATTTGGCCAAGGTCAACATTCTTCCTATTTCTTACAGTTCTAGAGGCTGAGCATCCTGGTCAAGGTGCCAGAGGACTTTGTTCCTGGTGAGGGCCTGCCTTCTGGATTGCAGATAGCTGGTGTCACTCTGTGTCCTCCATGGTGGAGAGAGTGCGAGAGCTCTCGGGTGTCTCCCGTTAAAGGGCCCCCGTCATGACCCCACCCTCGTGACCTTATCTAGAGCTAATCCCCAAAGGCTCCATTTCTAGATACCATCACACTGGGGATAGGGCTTCAGGATACGAATGGGGGGCCATGGTTCAGTCCACAGCAGTGAAGTTTTTTCGAATCTCCCACCCCAGTCCTATCCTCCTCATCCAGAGCAGGGGTGTCTAGCTTTATACATGTGAAAACTCTAATTTTATTTATTATTTATTATTATTTATTTATTTATTTATTCATCATTCATTCATTCATTTTTAATTTATTTATAGATTTATATATTTATTTATTTATTTATGATAGACATAGAGAGAGAGAGAGGCAGAGACCCAGGCAGAGGGAGAATCCATGCCAGGATCCCGACCTGGGACTCAATCTGGGGACTCCAGGATCGCACCCTGGGCCAAAGGCAGGCGCTAAACCACTGAGCCACCCCGGGATACCTGAAAACTCCTTTTAATTTAAAAATATTTGGGCATCCCAGGTGGCTCAGAGGTTTAGTGCCACCTTTACCCCGGGGCATGATCCTGGAGATCCGGGATCGAGTCCCACGTGGGGCTCCCTGCATGGAGCCTGCTTCTCCCTCTGCCTGTGCCTGCCTCTCTCTCTCTCTGTGTCTCTCATGAATCAATAAATAAAATCTTAAAAAAATGTATATATTTATGGATCTCCAGCTTGGAAATAGTCAAATAATATGGTTGTACTGTTTGTATCTATGGATGGTTCTCTGTTTCAGAATTTATTTTTTTCTGTGAATTCAGCAACTAATGTTTTCAAATGGGTTATAGTCCAAAAATAGGTGTACATGTTTTGTTTCATGCGTCTTTGGCCTCCCTCTGAAGGTGGCACTCCCTGAACCCCGGGACTCTTTCCGTGACTGGAGGCAACCAAGGGAGAAGTGGGAGTGACACCATGAGAAGTGGTTGACAGGCCAGCAAGTGGGCAGAGCGTAGGGGAAGGGAATCTGGGGTTGGAACTGAGAAGGGAAGCGAGTGGTTTATTGACACACGGCAGGTGTAGCCAGGAAGTGATTCTTGCAAGACCCTGGGAGAGTAGGTTTTGTGCACTGAACTATAGGATCAGAGGCTACCTGGGGGGTGGGGGGATGGAGGGAGGGCCCACTTCGAAGTCCCTCCCAGGAAGGGGGAGCTCATTCTGTGAATGAGAACTCGGTTGTCAAAACTGGCTGTGTGTCCGTATTGGGGTGACTTGATGTTGACCTCAGGGTGACCTAGGGAGCGGTGCGTGGTGGGGGTGGGAGTAGAGGAGGTGCAAACAGTTCAGCGTTTCCCACGAGCCAGGAAGTATTAGGCCCCTAAGATTCTCAGGTCCTCACGATGACCTTAGAAGGCTGATCCTGCCGGCCCCGCGGGCGGACGGGGAAGGAAGGCCCATGAGGTGAAGTCCCCTTCCTAGAGCACACGTGTATAACGGCAGACCTAGGATTGGGATGCGGGCCTCTCTGGCCCCAAACCTGTGCTCTGTCTATAATGTTACTGCCTAAGTGTCTCCTACTCCAGGTCATGAGGACGGAGAAGTGGATGCGTCAGGGTGGGTAATCCGATGGGCGTGAACCCCATCACCCACCTGTGGACTTTGGCCCACTTTGTATCCTCTGCGTCTTGAGGGCTGTGCCGAGCAGGGAAAGATGCACCAAGGTTTTCGAGGGGAAAAAAGCCCATTTACATTATGTAATTTCTGGACTTCCAGACTGATTTCTGAGACCCAAGGACATCCTAGCAGGATTTGAGCGATGCGTAAACCCACCACGCATGGAGCTCCTTCCACAGTTGTAAAGGGGAGAAGCTGGTAAGATAATCGTCATGAGCCCTACAGACTCTGGGGCTGGATTGCCTGTTTTTGGGTCCTAATTAGGCTCCACATACGAGCGCTATAGCCTTGAGGAATTTACTCCATCCCTTCAGGCTTTGGGTTCCCCATCTGTAAAGTAAGTTTAATAAAATACGTACCTCGTGGGTTAACAGTGAGGATTAAACGAATTCAACGCTTAAATCGATGCCGGCTATCTAGGATGCACTCAAGAAGTGCATGAAAAGGATGTCACAGAGCAGGGGCAAGCCCCTGCGAGCAGAGAGGGCGGTCGCTGACGCCGCTTGGACCGTAGCTGCTCACAGTGTCCTCCTCCTTTCCTCCTTTCTTCCTCCTTTTCATAACTACTGGGCGGCTGCTCCGGACCACGCACTGTTGTAGATGTGAGGGACCCGAGTGATGGCCTGATAGATAGGGGCACCCCTGGCCCAGGTGGGGTGACCTGAAGCAGAGCCTGCACCTGACCCCGTGTGCGGGACAGAGGACGTGTGCGCAGAGCCCAGAGTGAGGGAAGCAGGTGGGACGGGGCGGGCTCCGCCGGGATGTGGTCCCGTCCCAGGCTCCCCGCAGTCCGATCCCTGGGAGACTCCAGTTACACCTTGAGCCAAGGTGGGTGGCCTTCGGTACCCTCCAGGGGGGAGTGGGGTTCACACCCCCCCACCCTGACCCCAAGAAAGCCTCCTTTTGGCCACGGTGGTTCCTCAGGGCAGGGATGGGGGGCGGCTGGGAGCCGTGGACACGTGGGCCAAGCAGCTGCAGGGCCTGTTACTTCAGCCAGGCCTCTGGGGGACTGGGCGTGGGGCAGGGATGCAATGGGAGAGACGGGCAGGGGGGCGGCGGGGGTGGGCTCTTCTCCAGAGACCCTCAGTAGCCAGGAAGCTATTTCTGCAGTTTTCACTTTACCCGTCTCACCCCGCTTGTCTCTTGGCTCTCAGGGCCTGTGTTTGCCACAGACAACTGGGGTCCCTGCAGTTGGGGTACATTCGGTTTTTTTTATTGTCCTATGGAATATAGCGCAGAGAGTGTTACGTGTAAGGAATGGAGGACCTGGATCTCGGGGCTCCCGGTTTTCAGGCTGAGGCCGGGTTCCGAGCCCGCAGGCTCCCACGCGAGCTGCTGTGCCCTGTGCCCCCCTCGCTACTGGGTCTCACGCTCCCTCCTGCCAACGGTCGCAGAACAGGGCCTGGGCTCCTGGATGTGTCTTCTCTTACTGGGTCCCCATGGAACTGCGGGTCCTCAGAAACCGCCCGTCCCTCATTCGTGTTTTCCTTCCTGGTCTAACCCCACCCGCTCCCTCCCCATTGCCGCCTCCACCGGATCCCTCGGCTCGCAGCCCCCTGGCTCCCTTGCTGGGAGCCCGCAGCAAACCGTGGGAACTCCCGGAGCCCGGTGGGCACCTATGGGAGAGGCTTCCTGCCCACAGCCCGGAGCAAGGCCTGCTTGACCTCCTTGTTCCTCAGGCTGTAGACCACGGGGTTCAGCAGGGGCGTGATGACCGTGTAGGTCACGGAGAGGAGTCTGTCCTGCAGGGAATTTTGCGATTTGGGTTTTAGGTAGATGAAGGAGGTGCAGCCATAGTGGACGATGACCACGGTGAGGTGGGAGGCGCAGGTGGCGAAAGCCTTCCTCTGGCCCTCAGCTGATGCCATCTTGAGGATGGTGGAGACGATCAGGACATAGGAGATGAAGATGAGGACCATGGGGAAGACGAGCACGCACAGACTGATGAGCAAAGTGAGAAGCTCTTTGATGGTGGTGTCGGCACAGGCCAGCTTCATGAGGGGCCGGATGTCGCAGAAGAAATGGGAGATGACGCTGGCGTCACAGAAGGGCAGGCTGAACACGGAAGACACCTGGATGATGGCCGTGCTCAGGCCCATGCTCCAGGAGCCACCCACTAGGTGCACACAGGTCCTTTGGCCCATGACGACCGCGTACCGCAGGGGGTCGCAGATGGCCACATAGCGGTCGTAGCCCATGGCTGTGAGCAGGAAGCAGTTGGTGACGCCAAAGGTGAGATAGAAGAAGAGCTGAGTGGCACAGCCCGCAACGGAGACGGCCTCCCGGGGGCTCAGGAGACCGGAGAGCATGCGGGGGACGATGGCCACGCTGTAGCAGGTCTCAGAGAGGGACAGCGCGCTCAGGAGGAAGTACATGGGGGTGTGGAGGTGACGGCTCAGGCGAACAGCTGCCAGGATGAGGGCATTGCTGGCAAGGGTCACCAGGTGCAAGGCCAGAAAGACCACGAAGAGGAGGAGTCTACGCTGCCACCCCAAAGCGGAAAAGCCTTCGAAAGTAAACTCCGTCACAGCAGTGGCGTTGGGCCTTGGCATCAGAGGATCCGGGTCTGAAAGACACGAGGCGGAAGGTGGGAGACCCGAGTCCTCATCAGCCAGGTGCGGGGACCCGAGGCTCCCAGACGCTGGCCGGGCTCTCCGGTTCCCGGGGCTCTGTGGGCCTGGGCCGGGGGGCGCCCGGGGCGGGGAAGGGAGTGAGCACTCCCGGGGCTGGTGGGGCGGCTGGCTGGGAAGGGAGCCAGGCTGTGGGGGCGCTTCGGGGGAGGCGTGGGCCTCGGCCCGGGTCACTGGGGGGCCGGAGGTCTAGGGTGGGTGAGCAGACTGCGCCTTTCTCTGGGGCAACTGGTGTGTGGCCCGGCGCAGGCTGTGAGCCCGAATGCTCCCTGCTTCCTTCCCACGTCCCCCAAGTGCCGCTTGATTCCACACCCTGCCTCCCGCGTGGACGGCGTCTCTGCTTGTTTCCTGGGCTCCAGTCAAAGCGGCCAAGCATCGGAAACTTCTGAAAGGTCCCAAGTACCGGTACTGCACGCAGACAGCGGGAACAGGATCCTCAGGGCACACGCGTCCCTGCTTTACCCCGGCTGAGTGCGGGGACGCTTGCTCTTCTTTGCTCACTTCACTCGTCGCATTTGCTCATCTACAAAATGGAATAATACGGACTCACAGGGTTACTATGGAGATGATGCGCATTGCCGCGTGGGAAGCTGAGCACAGCCCCTGATACGGGGACAACGGGGCATCACACTCCCGCACCTTCACCCGACCTGCCCTTCCCACTCCCTCCTGGGTTCTCCTTGTCTCCACCGCCCCCCCCACCCCCATGAGACGAAGGCAGGGCCCATCACCACGACGGATGGCTGCTGGGAGACTTACCCGAGAAGAAGCCCGGAGGGCACTGAGCACAGAGAAGGGGTATACAGTAGGCCGCGGGGACATGGTCGCACGGGGGAAGACGAGGTAGATGTTCAGAGGGGGGTGTTTTAGGTGGTGCTGCGGTCCTCGCTGCTTCTCTCCTGGGCCTGGCCCAAGGTTCCAGGGTGGTTGGTCTTCATCCAGCTGGAACGTTTGCAGCAGCCTGAGGGCTCGAGGGGCTGTTCTGGTTTTTGGAGACAGGCGTGGGGGGGGAGGTGGCACAGAAGGAAACACGGGAGCAGGGGAGCGAGAGGGTGTGGGGGGTGGGGGCCGGGGCAGGAGGGTGTGGGGGGACAGCAGGCTGTTCCCAGCACAGCAGTTCTGCGGCCATGCCCACGTCCAGGCGGTCCTGCCCCGGCTCCTGCCCCGGGAAGCTGGGCTGTGGGAGCGTCTCTCTGACCCTCACCTCCCGGCCTCTGCCTCTACCTGGTGCAGGAAACAGGAGGACGTGGTGGGGACTCCTCTATCCCAGAAATAAGCTTTCTGTGGGTAGAGGGGACGCCTCAGGTTCACCCCATCGGACCCCCCAGACCCAGAGCGTGCCAGAGGGGGACGGGTGGGACTGTGCGTTCCCAGGTCCCCGGCTCCCAGTCCTCCCCAAGCGATGCCCTGAAGCCCACTATCTGGGGCTAAATGCACCAATTAAGCTCTTTGAAAGTTCTTGCCTCCGATTTACTTAGGCTCATGTCCGGATCACCCTTTCTGAGTGATTTTTTTGGTATTTATAATGCTTTTTATTCCGTAAGTTTTACAGCACAGCTGTTGGTTTTCCCACTTGACCATACCCCCCAGGCAGGGAGGAAAAAGAAGAGGTGGCCTGGCTTGAGCAGGGGTGGGGAAGCCCGGCCTCCCTGCGTGGGGGGAAGGGGTGGGGGGACTTACACCTCGCCAGGCGGACCAGGGGGCTCCGGCCTCAGCACCCACGGCGCTGGCCAGGGTCCTGCTCCTGCTGTGCTGGGTGGGGGGGGTGCAGTGCACACACGCAGCCTTGGGAGGGGAAGCCTCGAAGAAAGCCGCGGAGCCCCGCGGAGTCCGGGGCCTGTCTGGGAAATCCTCTCCCGCTTGGTGGGATGTGGGAGCAACAGCCCGAGGCCCTGGCTGCCTTCCCGGAGCCCCTCCCTTAAGTGGGTGCAGGCCGTCGGGGGGGCCGTCCCCCTGTGCCCTTGGAAGCCGCGGCGACTGTCCCCAAGGAGGCAGAAGCGACGCCCAAGCCTCCGCGATGCCTGGGGACCTCGTTAGGCAGGGGCTCGGGCAGGCATGTGGAGAGGATGCAGCAGCCCCCGGGTCCCCCGGGGCACGATTTGTTTTTATTTTTATTATTTTTAAAAGATTTTATTTATTCAGGAGAGACAGAGAGAAAGGGGCAGAGACACAGGCAGAGGGAGAAGCAGGCTCCCTGCGGGGACCCTGACGCGGGACTCGATCCCAGGACCCCCAGGGTCACACCCTGGGCCGAAGGCAGGCGCTCAACCGCTGAGCCACCCAGGCTTCCTTTCATTTGTTTTTAATAACATGACATTACTATTGCACTGTCTTGGTCAGCATGGCGTCAGCATTCCAAAAAATCCTCACCCAGGAAAACAAAAGTTCTGAACTTTATTGTTGTTCTTATGAACCTTCACAAGAAAAAACACAGCTCAATGACCATCAAACTCACCCCCCCCCTTTTTTTTTAAGATTTTATTTGTCAGGGTGTGGAGCACAAGCACGGGGAGCAGCAGGCTCCCCACTGAGCAGGGAGCCCAATACAAGACTCAGTCATAGGACTCTGGGATTGTGACCTGAGCCAAAGGCGGACACTCAACCGTCTGAGCCACCCAGGCGTCCCAGACTCTTCAGCTCCATAGTAGCACCATATGATAGTCACCTCTTGAAGGCACTCAGAACTCTTACCTCAAAAGTCTTGCTTTGTGGAATCCACAGATCCTAAAGCATTATATCATGTTATTCACCCGGCCCTAACTGAACCCCTGAGCTGAAAAACCTGCCATACACTTCACCCCAAAACATCACAAGTAGCCTCACTTTTCACTCCCCTCTGGCAGATACTAGAGGGTCATAGTCGGTGTCAAGATCATACTCTCCCTTATCAAGAAAGGGATAAACTCAGCTTTGTTCATCAACAGATTATTTTGGTGATGTTTTCAGAGTCAGCATTCTAAAAGGGACCGGAAGGACATTGAAGGCAGAGCAATATTTAATATTACCTATGCTGCGGTGTATTACCTATTCAACAAAAACAATTGGAAGGAGGGATGAATGGAAGCCACTAAGGTGCTCAGTAGAAGCACCTGTTCAGGAAGGAAGGTTAAAAAACCCAGATGTGAGTCCTTGGACATTTCAGTTTATAGTGGCAGACTCAGCAAGCAACTGAGAGAAAGCGTCTGTGATAAAACAAGTTAAAAAGAAACAGGATGCTTTCAATTTCTTAGAAGCAGGGTCATTTGTTGAAGAAACGGGTAGAGGAGAGGGATGCCATTTACGTTTGCAGGTGTGGCTCAGTTCCATGAGTTCTAGAACAGCTGGGAGCGAGATGCAAGTAAACTGAATGCCCTGTATTAACCTTCTTGTTCCCAGGAAGAGCAGAGTCTGTCTGTGGAAGGGAGGAGAGGCTCCAGCTGTACCTGGCCAGGTGGGCGTAGTGGGGTGGAGCTACCTTGCCATGCTGGCATGCAATTGCTGCCTCAATAAACCCAGTGAGTGGTCTGGACCCCACCTGGAGAGAGAGTGCGGCTCAGGAGGGAGGGCACACAGAGGAGCCAGAGAGGAAGTGGGAAATCCAGCACACACTGCCTTCTCCCAAGAAAAGACATTTGGTTCTTTTGGTGTCTGTTGGGGCCAATCTCCCTCCCTAAATATTTCCCACCACTCTCTTCTGTTTGTAGGATTGCTGAGGAGAAGTCACATGTGATCTTTCTTTTTTATTCTATAGAAAAGATTTTTTTTTTTTTTTGCCTCTGACTCCGACCTGAACTTAGTGATAGGAGGAATCCTGTGGTACACATTGGAGATGCCAGCAGGACACAGGTCTTTTAGTTCTTGAATTAAGTAAGAGTCGATCAGCCATATCAAGGTATTACCCCCACTACTGCCATGTACTGGTGATAGGAACACAAAGAAGATGACCCATGTCCCACAGGGAAATGGGCTGATTCTTGCTTCTGCTAGACTGGAAAGCAAAAGTGGGATAAAGTCCATGCAGTACATTTTTGAAGGAAATGGATCATTAAGAAACACAGGAGGATCGTGGAAGGGATAGTCACTAAAAATTATAGTTACAGTGATGACACTATTAGCCATTGTTATGAAGTACAGGTATGGGGGGAGACAAAAACCCTTGGAAAATAACTCCCCTCTATATCTTTCTTTTCATTGAGAAACTTCACATCAGAAAGAGTTAGAAAAAGTCAACGTCATTTGACACCAGCTACTGCTTTTTTCTCTAGAAAGGCTACTGTATAAAACAAGGAACATGACCGAACTTAGTTCAAAAGAGCATTGGCCTCCACTTCTGGAAACAGGGTGAGTATACTAGCTCGAGGGCCCTTCCACAGCCTGACCTTGTACTAGTCATCTTCTGTACGTGAAGGAGCAGGGCTAGGGAAAGGAAAGCTCAGGACTCAGAATATTTGGGAAGAACACCCATTCTGAGACATTCCCAGGCCACTTTGTGCTAGCCATACATGTTGACAGAGATGCCTGGATCAGTCCCAGGTGGTACAGAGGGAGCTGATGTGCCAGGGTCACTCAACACCTGCTGCCTCTTTGACCTGGACCCACCTCTTTAATCATCAAGTATAGTAGTTGTTTTCATAATTCTGCTGTCCACTTATGTTGAAACTTTTCCTCCCTCTCATTCCTGATATAAATGAGGCAAATCATGAGAAACTTCTTGATTTGTTCTCGAGAGTGCTGAGCTCCTAGCTGGTGGAAAAGCACTGGTGATGCCTGAGGCCTGGGGCGTTATTCAAGAGTACAGCTCAAAGCACAGTGCAACCTGTTGGGCAATGAGAGCCTCACCCTTCCTTTCCTTTGTCCAATTCATTCAGATCCAGACCTTTTGGTGATAGCATAGGCTTGTCCTTTTTTTTTTTCTTTCTTCTAACTTTGTACCCATTGACTCTTTCTGGACTTGCTGTCCTCATGACTATTTGTCTGGACCATCATCTCCATACTCCCTTGTACTGCTTCCTGAGCATGCTATAAACTCCTACACTGTGGCTGTCATCCCTGCCTTCTGTCTGGCCTCCCGAGTCCTCATTAGCCTGTTGCCATTCAGGACTATTCCACCCACACTTCCGTCTCACCTGCGCAACCAACAATGGTTTTCCCGCTCACGGCCATGCATTGTGATCACTGTGCAACCATGGGCAGCCCTTGTGGCATTCAGTCATTGTACCTACCATCAAAGTTCTCCAGAGACACAGAACCAATAGGTGTTGCTGATAGTGTGTAAGAGATTTACTATAGGAGTTGCCTCACATGGAGGCCGCGAAGCCCCATGATCTCCTAAAGAACCAAGAAAACTGAGAGTGTAAATCCCAGTCTGAGTCTTAAAGCCCAAGAACCAGGAGCCCTGATATCTGAGGGCAGGAAAAGATGTCTCAGCTCCTCCACAGACCCGGAATTTGCCCTTCGTCTGCCATTTGCTCTCAACAGGTGCAGACTCTCAACAGATTGGATGATCCCTGCCCACACGGTTGGAGAGTGACCTTTTTTACTTGGTCTACTGATTCAAATGTTAGTATATTCTAAGGACTCCTTTACAGGCATGCCCAGAATTAATGTTTTGCAAATTGTCTGGACACCTCTCAGCCCAGTCAAGTTCACACACAAAATTCACCATCACAGTCCTCCTATGTAAGAGGCCTGGGCAGTGGGCAACCATGTCACTAAGAATTGGCTTGGACACGTCCTCGTCCAGGTAACTTCTGTATTTGGCCAGTTTTTTTTTCTTAAATTTATTTAGAGGGCATGAGCAGTGGGTGTGGGCAGAGGGAGAAAAAGAGAAGCAGACTCATCACTGAGCATGGAGCCCTAACTGTGGGACTTGATCTCACGACCCTGAGGTCATGACCTGAGCTGAAATCAAGTAGTTGGATGCTCAATGGACTGAGCCACCCAGGTGTCCCTGCCCTGTCCTTCTGAAATGCTTTTCTTTTTTAAAAAAATTATTTATTTATTTAT